TTCGACTTAGCACATATGGAGGAGGTGGTGTAGCACCTGCGAGCCGAGCAGCTGCATAATGGGCTCCAGCAGACTGCATTTAGAACAAAGATGAAGTATAAACTACTTTAATAAGACAACAAAATAGATATGAAATATCAAATTTTACCTCAAGACCTGAAACAAGTACTGCACCCATCATCCCAAATACGTGACTTGCAGCAAATATGGGAGCACCCCACTGAAATGGGTACGGGATCTTAATCCTGAGACAAACAATGCCAATACATTGATATTTGAAATGCTATTCTTAATGGCTTATGTTACATTTACTGAACAAAAGAATAGAGGATTCTGTTGAAGACTACCATGGAGCAGATGATATTAAGTATGATCTATCAGTACGGCAATGCAACTTGGTCTTCTCGGGGACATTGTTGTATGCACCAGCAGCAGTAAGAATAGCAGCAAAAGCCCATACAATTTTGACACAGAAAATGATTGAGAACCTCTCAAGCACAAAGTAAGCTCTCTCATTAACGTGCTTCGTATGCTGTAGAGGATGCGGATGGGTGAGTCTGCTATTTGTCAGCATTATATAACAATTATCAAATAGGTTGATCTGTGAACCCCTTACCTGTTGGGCGATAACTAATAATACTAACAATATCAGCACTGGCAATCCAACTTCAACACATTTTCCTAGCTGAAAATATCAAAGGAATGCCAACTTAAGAAGTTTTTTTGAAACCCTGAGTTCTGATGAAATCTAGAAACCACACCTGAGGGAAGCCTCGCTCGAACAGTCCAAGACCCACAACACAAACTACAGGAACTATAGTCACAGGACTGCAGAACCTGAAAACCCGCTTTTCGATACAATAATTAGACTGTAAACTAAAATCTGATGTATAGATATGCTTTCAACACAAAAATCATTGAAATTCTACCTGAAGAGTTTTTTCCATGCTCTGGTGTACCCAATAAATATGTTGACGAACGAAGAAATTATCAGTGCTCCTTGAATGGTTCTCGTAGTATGGACAAATCTCTGCAACAATATTGAGACCAAATAAATATGTCTTTCACTGTCAACAAAGATACTTGTCAGCAGTAAGATGCGGCTCAGTAATTGTGAAGTCACAGATCAAGTGCAGGCAATCAAAGATCATAAGCTACAAGAAGATTGACTCAGAAATCTATTTATTCTTCTTCTTCAAAAGCTCAATTATTTCTGGGTCTATTCAACTAATGTTTATTTGGTCTCAAAATTTTTAGACGATGAGATCCGTGAAGCACAAATTTCAACACTATAGGAAGAGTAACCATAATTAGGAAGAAGTTCTTTTAGAGCAAAGACACTTGGATTAATGAAAGTAGAATCCCTTTCCTTCTCAATGATTTACACTGAGTAGTCAAAACGATAGGTAATAAAGTGCAACAAATGAACTTGAAAGCAATGTCGTCCATCTACCTGGTGTTCATCATTGTAGGCCCGTGAATTGAAGTCTCTGATAATTGACATGACAGGGATGATGAACGCAAAAGATGAGTTCATCACAGTGGGTAACCGTGTTCCGATCAATGTCTGGAGAAGGGTATTAATCCCACTCATGAACAGGAGTGTCTGAATAGTACGTGCCTTATCTCCCTGTTGCAAAATTACAACTGATCGATGAGTTGCTTACTAGTTTTGGGGGAAATCAGATCCAAGTAAAATAGAAATGTGTAAAGTGAAGATGTTTTACATGGTTTCCACCCATCAGAGGGACGAGAAAAGAAGCTAGCATGACAATTGATCCCAACATAACTATGTAGTGTTGGAACGCAAGTGCAAACATTTCAGCTGTAATTCCCAAAACATTTCTCAAGTAAGCAATAATCCTATCTGATAAATAAGTATACCGAATTACAGTTTTGGTAAAATTATGAAGAACAAAACGCAGTAATTGGACAATTGCCAAACCAAGTGAATCAAATCATATGGAGAGAGCATAAGCATACATGTCAGACAACAAAAATAGAACTTTGAGCCCTCTTCATGTGATAGAACAGAGCTAACCAAAGGAAATAAGGCAACAAACTGACATGAACGATTATTAGGGCACTTGGTTGCGGTTTCGTTGATGTATTCACAAGAGAAAGACATTGGAAGAAACAAGAAGGGCAAGATATACTGCGAAAGGAGCAAACAACTGCATATCCATATTGTTGCATACCATCAAAGATCAACTGAAAGAAGCAAAATTAGCAGCAATAACTTGAGAATTATGCTCATTAAAAAAAAGAGGATCTTTAAGCAGAGATCCAGCAAAAGAAATGCAAAAAGAAGAAGGCTTTGAGGGGTAGAAAACTCAATACCATAATGAAATCTTAGAACCAAAATCTAAGAAGGTCAAAATCCTAAAGATACACCCAAGCGAACTTTCGTATCTTAAGATCCAATAAACAATAAACTGGAAAAAACACAAGTCTTGATGAAAATTCCTCGACATAAAACACAAACAGACAGGTCGAGTACAAGAGAAGCATGGAATTCATCCGACAGAACTACTGAACAGAGTCCAAAAAGAACAAGAACAAGGGGGAAGAAAAGAAGACACGAAGCTCACGCCACGAAGGGTTGGAATGGAGGCAAAACTGAAGATTGGGAAGCTGCTCGAGGGGCGGGTGAGTCGGGTGGACGTCTCCAAACCCAGCAGCCGTCGGCATCGGCATCGGCATCTGCATCTGCACCGACGGCGGTGCGGTCGGAACCACCGGCGGCCCCTGGGGCGTAGGCGCTCCCGTCTCTCCTCCCATCCTCCAATCTACCACCGCGTACCGTGATCCCCTCAAGCTTCTGGTCTTCTCCTACTATTATTATTCGCCACAGCCTCCTCTGTTATCAAAACCAGTAGCTAAAATACTAAAAATGGAGCTCAAGAAAGACAAGAGATAGACTCGAGAAGCTGACAAACGAAAGCAAAGAGAGACTTTTCAAAGAAAGCATAGACGCAACGCACAGATCTTTTGTAAATTTGGATCAACAACAACACTGAGCGGTTTCCTTCTCACAAACTCGGATGTTTGTGAGAGAATCAATAGTAAATATGGCAAAGGTGGGAATCGAGACGTACATTAAACAAGGCAAGAGATCAACGACTCCTACCTTTGTTTATACTATTCATCGAGGTCGTTCACATTGTTCGATTTGACAGCAAAGATGTTGGACTCACCAATTCTACTGAATCCTATTTACTACTTTACTGCCAGGAACATGTGAATGCAATTACGTCCTCAGTACTCAAGTCTGGGATGCGTCATCATGCACCCGTTGACTGTCCTCGCTCTGTGGGCCATTCTCATGTTTCCGTTGATTTTATTGTACTTCAGCAATTTTTACGCGGTTGGGGAACAGGAACATTAAATTTTCTGATTTGATGCTGCTACTTTCGATCGATGATGCATGAATCAGGGCAGTCGGTCAGCGTCGAAGCTAAAGATCATGGTAAGAGGAACACTTGTTCCCTACCCATGACGTGATTGGAAAGGGGACGTCGGAGCGTTGGCATTTGGAATCTCGAAGGAAACAGCGGAGTGGAGACACCGAGATCCCATCCATAGATCACGTGGAAGCAATAGTGTGCAGACATAGGATATGTTTCCCGACAGCTACGGCTGCGGAGGTCGGCACCGACACGCCACGCCCGATAGATTCGAGTGCAATCTTTCTTCCCGGGAGGATGTCCACAACGAACGTTCGAAACGACCGGACATGACATCCGAGTTCCGCGAGTCTTCCCGCAAATGATCATCTATCTACCGGAAAGATCCGCTTGATGCCGGACTCTTATGTGAAGATTAAGCCAAAGTTTCGGTGGAGTGAGAATGATTCTGTAAATTGTGTAACATGAACATCTCTGCTACACGAGCAGAGGCATCAGATGGGCTTTCGAGGATGATTAACAAGCAGAATGATACATTGGAGGAGGATCTAATATATATTAATAGTTTGTTCGATGGATGGTTTAAGTAAGAAGACTAAGAGAGGACGAATGGAATGGACAAATGCTGGTAGCACGCAAATTGAAGTCATTAGCAGTGTCTGTATCAATTTAGCAGTATCCAGAAAAATTGAAGATATATGCGCTATGCATCATGAGAAATTTAAGAGTCAGAGAGAAATTTGATATTGAAAGCTGCACTTATTTCCTATGATCTTACTAGCTTTGTAGACCTAACAAGTTGTCCATAGGTTATGAGGCAAATTTGAATGCAAAAATATAGAGAATGAAAGCAGGAAAAAAATACTAGCACGCACAAAATTATGATTTTTAATCAGTAAAACACATTATCTGAGATGGTAATGAGCTATAATGTTGTTTGAACTTCTACAGGACTGAGTGGTAGCAAAACAATACAACTTTCATAAGCTTATCCTCCACATATTTTTTGCTTGATCACTACTCACTAATGAACATATAATATGTTGACTTACCCGATAAGTGAGGGATTGAGAACATGGCCGGTGAACAACACTACTCCGGTTACGTCTTCTCTTATTATAAAGATGAATGGGTGATCTGCTTCAAAGTCTAGAGGACCAATCGGTAATGACCTCAGAGCCACCACAGCAGCAGTAGCAGCGGCTGCTTCAGTTCCTTCTTCATTGACTTCGATAAAGGATTTGTGGAAAACTGATGATACATAGAGGCTTCGACCAACAGATGAATCTGCCACCTCTGATAGATCTGCATCTGCACTGAAAGGTAATGCCAGGCCCAAACTTTTCAGCACTGCAGATGCTTCAAATCCAAATGATATCTTGAACTTTGGCAGCTTGAACTTCCCTACTTTAACCTTCGTCATTGGAAGACGGTGAGTTAAGAACTCAGACTTAGAATTCAACTTCTCCTGCAAACTCCACAAACCATCTCGTGCATCTGGCAGGAAAATATACATAGAGAACAGCCTTGCATCCTCACCTTGCTTGTAAGGGAGCCTAAGAACCTTAAATCCATCATTTGAAGACAAATACTGATCTTTTTTACTAGACATGAAAGGCACTTGAACTGAGGTTCCATTTAGTAGGTGGAATTCTGAGTCATTCGTCTGAGATGAATCAAACTTTTCATTCCAGGATCCTTTGAAGTAGAGTGCATTACCCAACACCAATCTGGTGTTACTGTCAACAGAACCAGGAGGAAGGAGCTCTTTGATCAGGCCAGCGGTAACGTTCTCAACCCAAGAGTTAACCTCATTTGTAACTTCGACAGCCTTCATGGTCAGCAGAGACGTCAACAACCATACCAATATCAACAGTATATAATGAACATGAATTGGATTAATGCGGAATATAACTGTAGTCAGGAACAAAAGTTTGACTGGAGATCAGGTGATCTTTTCCTTTTCCTTTCCTTAATTGTATCCTGTTTGACTCTGTTTATCTTATTGACAAAAAAGTGGATGGTGCCAATTGATATCGATTGTGCATATTGCTCTATAAAGAAGAAATATAAAGTGACAAGATATTTTCTAGCTCAGAGCCCTGAGAGTTAGTATTTTATTCTGAAGTGCTAATTTTTATATAAAATAATCATCTCAGAGAATTCCAAATCTATTTTCTTCTTATGAGAATTGCAGAACTAATAATAGTATTACCTATGAAGTATACAAAGCATATTGATTTTTGCAGTAACAAAAACTTCACTTATCAATAGTGGAAGAGACAATTCACATGAAACAAAGTATGGAGGCAATTCACGAGGATATCAACAGTCTATCAAAGATGCTGGGCTACTGCTTGCCGTTCCCATGAGTTTACAAACTGAATAGAAGTTATGCACAGGTAATAAGTGCATCAAGAGAATATTGTCAAGTAACTGCAATGTCAGCTTAAGACACAAAAGTCCTATGATTCTCTATTGTTAGAAAACATTGATTTATGAGCATCTATAATGATAGAAATGGTCATATGACTCTTCTAAGTCACAATTTTAATTCCATATAGGTTTCCAGACCAAGAATAAATGACTCATTATAAATTAGTTAGTTGTTACGGATCCAAGTCTATCACAACAACAACAAAGCCATAAAATCCTAGTAAAACCATAAAGTCTCAATTATTTGTGATCGGCTACATGGATCAAAGACCATCAAATGCTTGATTTTATTCGATGTAGTTGACATCAAGGATTGAAATTTCGTACCGTACCGAAGTTTCAAGATTTGCTCAGTACGGTATGGTACTATATACCGAGCGGTACATTTCGGTATACCGCTCGATATACCGCTCGGTATATGTATATGTATATATACATATATATATGTATATACACATATATATATATATATACACATATATATATATATATGTACATATATGTATATGTACATATATACATATATACATATATATATATATATATAAAGGCGACGTTGCCTCTTTTCTACCCACACAGAGAGAAGGTGGGGCGAAGAAACAACGCAGAGGCCTCGTCACCTCAGACGAGGTGACGATCGATTTAGAGTAGTAACAGGGCAAAAACAACCCCAATCGACGGTACCGCCCGGTAGCGGGCGATCCGCGTACCGGTCTGCCGGTGGACCGGTACAAACGATATTATTTGAAATTAAAATCCTTGGTTAACGTTACAAAAAAAGGCTGTCTCAAGTCTTTTTTTTATTTCCTTTTTGGATCATATCTAGGTGGAGGATGAGATGGTAATAAAAAGGCATAACAAGCTTATTTTACGGATGTTCTAAGATGATCAACAACAACAACAACAACAAGCTAAAATGTCTCAACTATTTAGGATCATCTTTCGATTACTGTTTGTCTAAGACCATTTTAATCAAATTATGAATCTCAAGTCCAAGCTAATTTCAAAGATATTGTTGTCATGCATTTCAGAACACCAAGAAAATAACAGCTTAGAGCCAATTATTTGTATGGACTAGTTAACTTGCTAATCTGAAATTAGATGCCAAATAGAATCATGCAAAACCACTCGCAGCATACAGTTTGATGGTAAATAAATTAGTTATTTTTTCAGAGGTGTAAAGTACAAATATGTTTCTTGAAATGCATAAGTAGTTTGCACTCATTTGGAACACAAATTAAGAGCTAGATACTTTATTGTAGAATATTTAATGCAATTGAACAGTTTAGTTAAAGAACATGGCTGATCTTTTGGGCTTTCAACCAATTCGGATGTATAGATACAAATCTTAAATAAGATGAACAAAACTATAACCAACAAGAGAAGGCTGGAGGAAGCATTCAAAAATCTGTTAATAATAAATATAGAGCAACATGATAGTACTGGATTAGCTTTAATAGTAATATGTGACATGAAAAAGCAATAAAATTTTTTGATGTAAATAGTGTTAGACATTACAAAAAATTGGCTCATTTCCTGGAAAAAAAAAGTCAATTTTTTAGGATAATACCACACAATCGAAAGTTTTATCATTCTGTCGTAGGTCATATGTTCGATCCAACGTCCGTCCCCTATTATTCCGCTTCGCCTAATAATACTACGTTAATGGGAAAAAAAACCTGACCTTGGTTTGGAAATCAACGATTTTAGTGTCTGCTCTAAAAATCTGGGTGACGATCTCCTTGAAGGAAGGCTTCAGCAACAACGAGGAGTCAAAGAAGACGCCGTTGGCGTAGGACACTCTGGGCCCACCTCTCGCCGACCCGTCCGCGAGGACGACGGCGACAACCTGCGAAGATAGGGCGTTGAGGTCGGCAACTCCGCCGCTGTCGCCGAGGCCGAGGAAGGAGAGGATCTGGTCGAGGGTGCGGCCCTTGGAGCCGGCGGCTAGGAGGGACAGGACGAGGTGAACGGAGAGGGGAGAGAAAGCGAGGTTAGCGTCGCTGGCGGCCTCGGCGCCGACTTGCTTTGCGAGGCGGAGCGCGAACGCAGTCTGGTGGCCGATCGACTCCCTCAAATCCATCATGGTAGCAGGTCTTTGAAGAGAGCTGAGAAAGAGGGAAAAGGGAAGAGGGAAGAGGGCGTGTAGTGGACAGCTTCTTTTGCTTCTGTTAGTCGTCACTTCGTAATCGATACCCCACAAAAACGTGAAAAGAAATAACGGAAAGCTAACGCGAAATTGACGCGCATCGGATGCGAAAACCCGTTCCGGCCTTTCGGAGTCGTCGAAGTCATGCGACGGCTCTAACAATCCGATATCATCGTTATCGGGTCATATCCCCGATCCGCATCCGGTTATTATCGGATCGGATCTCGAGCTGAATCAGGTCGGATCTAATCCGTTTACACCAATGGTTCTTACCTAAAATGTGTGCTATGGGATTAGAATTAGCGATCGGAATTGGATGGAACCAATTTGATTGAAATGGACCCATAAGAATCAATTGGATTCAAACCAAAGTAATTCGATTAGGTTTAATTTGGACCGATTGATTAGAGTCCAATTTTTTATTTTGAATACCTATAGATTTAAGTTTATTTAAAATATTATCGTTTCTAATGTTATCCAAATCAACAAATATTTTGATCGAGATGCGTCGTGTTTTCAACAATGATATCAACACGAGGATAATGCCTTCTTATAAAAATACAGGAAGCCATAGATTAGGAATAGATACGTCTTGTCTTTGTAATACTCATTTTTACTGTATATTAAAAATTGATAGAGAATCTACTGTCATTTAGTACACGATTATCATGTGAGATTCAAATCATCCTCTATACATGTGTTGTGGACGAAGATTTAAAACAGAAAAATACAAGCCTCCTTCTCGTCAGAAAGATAATCACAAGTATCATTCTAACATGAAAAATCTGCTATAACAGAAACACATGCCCAAAATATATGAATCGAGAAAATCCAACTCATAAGATGAGATCCCGAATACTCTCATATTGGATGAACTAAACGATGTACTTTGAACCCCACTTGTAAGATCCTCGAAGCACACATTTGAGGGGGATAAAAGATAAAGAATCTATTGTCAGTTAACACATGTTATCACGTGAGATCCAAGTTACTCTCTATCTACCTACGTGGATAAATATTCAAAATATGAAAATACAAGCCTCTTTTTCGTCCGTTATCACAAGTAAGATAATCACAACTTTTCTTCTTATCTATTATAATAAGGAAGATAATTACTATCCTTTATCACAATCATAAACTCCCTTCTTTATTAAAAGATAATCATATCTTTATAAAAAGATATCTTAAATCCAATGCAAAAAATTCTTTTTAAATAACTCAAATTCATATTTGGAGATCTTAGATTACTAACTTATGTATTAGAGGGATCAAGTCAGGAAATCCCTCCTGGCCTTAATCTTTATGTAAGTGATACATTGAGAGTATGATATTTCTATCTCGGGAGTATGACATTTCCACCTTGTGAGCACAGTATTTTTACCTTAGAAACATCTTAGATATTCTTGCACATAATGGTCTGAACCATATTGAGATGTCAACGGTAATTTTTTTCCTAACAAGAGTAAATATCAAATTTTTTTTTTGCATAAGTTCTCACAACAACTTTGCATGGATTGAAGGAGACCCTACGAAAGAAAAGGCAGCAAAAATTGTTTAGAACATTTTCAAGGCAGTGATTGAATTCCATTAAATATGAAAGAAAAAGATCATTTAGAAAACCTTTTAGATTAGGACAAAACTTTTTATCTTGATTCCAGTAAAGATCATATAAAAATATTCATATTAATTCAAAGAAAGATTTTGTTCCCAAAACATGAATTGTCAATGCATGAATTTTGCTCGTATATTTTGCTTCCACTTTTTTATGTTTATATGAATTTTCTGCTTGTTATACCAAGACAAATCTTTTAATCTTGAATTCTATCAAGATTTTTCTTTACGAAACTAAAATATTGCCATGCAAATTTCCTGACCCTAATTTAGTAAACTTAAATTCCTTGTAAAAGATTTTATGCATGCATGGCATGATTATAACTACTGGTATCTGCATGACATATATATATATATATATATATATATATATATATATATATATATATATATATATATATATATATATATATATATATATATATATATATATATAT